GACACATGGCAGAGTCAAGGAATTGGATGCAGTGGAAATGTGCAGCAAAGAGAGAGGTGAAAAACCAAAGGAAAAAGCTAAAAAAAATAGTTTACCCTTTTCCCAGTGTCCTAATTTCACTGGCCATTCTTCCTTTCCCACCTGAAAAACACGAACAAGCGCCTGACCTGACAAACAGGTGTGATGGTCTGTGTTATCTCCATTAGAGGTCCCACTGAAGTCATGTCTTGTGGAGTCAGTCACTCAGTGCCCTGGCAACTGCCAGCCTCATATACCATGTGGTGGTACCCACAGATTTGAGGTTTGTTTAAGAAAAGCACCAATGTGGTTGTGTTGCTTTTTTGTGCTTTACTTACTAAGAAAAATGGATCTGTTGTTTAACAGTGTGATAATAAACATAAGCATGGAAGAGGTGATGAAAGGGGGATGGAGGAATAATGTGGGGAAAAGGAGAGGGAATGGAAAGATCATAGAATGGTTTGGGTTGGAAAGGACCTTAAAGCTCATCCAGTTCCAACCACCCTACCGTCAGCTGGGACACCTTCCACTAGACCAGGTTGCTCAAAGCCTCATCCAACCTGGCCTTGAACACTTCCAGGGAGGAGCAGCCACAGCTTCTCTGGGCAACCTGGGACAGTGTCTGACCATGATGATGAAGAAGGTCATGTCTGACCAAAGAAGAATGGCTAAGATAAAATGCAGGGAATGTAGGAAAGTAATTAATGGGTAAGAAAGAGGAAAGGAAGGAGGAATATTTCAACCCTTATCCTTTCTCTCAGATGCCTCCATCCTATAAACTCGCTCATTGCTTGGTACCTCAGGCCCATGTTTTTCTGTTGCAAACACCTGGAATCGCCTCCTCCCGATGTCAAGTCATATGTTGAAGCAGAATTAGCTGGAAATGAACCATCGCCCTCTGAGAGCATAGCTTAATGTTACTTGAAAAATCACTCCAGGCTTTCCCAAGTCACCTGAAGTGCCATCTGCCAACAGCTGCTGCAGTGTTGGGGATGTGCTCCCCTGTTGCAGGGGCTGAGGCAGGTGGTGCAGGGCAGGAGCAGCCCATCATCTTTGAGCCTGAACGGTGGAGTACGTGCTCGTGTCAGATGTGGCTTTAAAAACAGGCAGTTACACCTTTGTCCAAGAAATGATGCTGCTAGCAATGCTGGAGAGTGATTGTATTTTTATTGGATGGGAGGAGTGTTAGCAGGAGCCCGTGATCTCCTGCAGCTTTGCTTGCTCTGGTAAGAATAACCCTTACACACTTGAAAACCACACGAGCACTTGCAGTCAGTCTCCAAACAAAAGCATACAGGTTACTGAGACAGTGGGTGTCTTACTGGCTGGTTTTTTTTGTCCCAGTATGATTGTGCTAGGCACCAAAAATCAAAGCCTTGTCCATCGACTTCCATGGGAACAGACTTCAGAGCAGATCACACAGTAATTGCTGCCATTAGCCTTAACATGTTGCCTGAAATCTGCAGCTGCGGGTTTGTTGTGTTACCAAATTAATTGATCTTCATGGAAGTCAGTGTTTTAATTGGAAAGGAAGAGTGGCAGGGGAGAGTGAGGACACCCTTGTGAGCTCTTGTCTGATCTCAGAATCTCCACTCCACATTTATCCCTGGCCCATAAAGGATTTGGAGGCAGAGCAGGAGCACTATTTTGGGGAAATGTAGCATGCTTGCCCTCTTAACAAGCTATTTCCCTGGTATTGGCCACTGCTGGAGATAGAATATAGGACTAGGTGGAGCTTTGGTCTCTCAACCTGCAGCCAAACTTAGGGCTTTTGCACCTACTTAGTTTTTAAATGAGGATGTGTACCAGATTGGAGGCTTGAGGCTTAAACACAGATTATGCACAAAAATATCCTTACATATCTTTGCCCTTTTCATCCAGAATTTTAAAAGGTTAGTGAGAGACACAGTGAGACACAGGGCAAAATGAAGGCATATCTGTAAAAGTCAATGGTGTTCTGCAAGTGAAATATGAGGACAGCCTACTTAGAGCAAATGGCTCATTCTTGTGGCAAGGAAAAAATCGTGGGTTTAGTAAAACAAAAACACTATTTTATGTTCCAAGAAACTGGCAGAAATGGCAAGATAACTTCATTTAAATTAAAAATGCCAACCTAGAGGCACACACTCAAAAGCAAGAATAAGATACAGAGAGGATGTGATTGTTGGTTGGAGTCTAGGTTTATTAACCTAGACTCAGTGACTTTTTGTTAATGTAAGAGCCCAACTTCCTAAAAATATTGCAGATGCTTGTATGTAACATTTTGTAATCCCACAGCACTATTTACATTTCGTTAGTTATATTTTAATAAATTCTGATTTTTCATTGGAATTGCTTAAATTTCTATGTTTATAAATTTTTCCCTGTTAGCATGAATTTTCTTGGATGTTTTAAATAGAATTCAATACTGGTCTGGAAATGTTCAGCTGAAAGTACAGTTAGACAATTTGCCCAATGACATCTGTTCAGCAGCATCATTTTACTCAGCTGCAAATGACATATTTAATTGAATGAAACATTTCAAATACACTTTGACAGCTTTCCAGCCCAGTATCTCCAAACTTACGATTTAATGAAAATATGCCATGCTAGAACTGTTACAGGGACTATAAAGAATTTCTTTTATAAAAGGCAGTACTGTGATGTTAGAAAAGAATGCATTAAAATATTACGTCTGCCACTTGTGTTATTTGTACTACTTAGCTTCTGAAACATCTCCATGTTTTCTAGGGAATCTTTTGAGCCATGATTTTATGGTACTGTCTGCACTGCCTACATCTGTAACTCTTATGCTGTGTTCTGCATGGAAGATCAAAATGTTTAAAAAAAAAAAGAAAGAAAAGCCCCTAGATTATCTTGTATGAGTTTTAATGGAAGCATAATAATAGGAAGTATGCATTTCAGAAGAAACCACAGTACTGTCATCTGAGGAACAGATCCACGGCAGCAGAGCCAGAAGTTTCAGAGCCGTGTTAGTCTTTAGTCTCGCCAAAGCCAATTCTGAATACTGAGTTGCTCAAATTTGTCCGGCTTCAGCCTGCAGTGTAACGGTGCATGTTCCTTTTGATGTTTGCTGTAGATACTTCAGAGGTGTAGTAGTTCAGTGCTTATTTCCAGCATAATGCTTAACTTTTGGCATGCTGCTTCAGGGGTTCACCGCCATTTCCGTTATTTTAAGTTAAAACTACTTAATGAGGCTCGCACAGTAAAGTCTCTCTGAAGCAGTCAGCTGACAACCCTAAATGCACAGAATTGTATTTTTCCATCAAAAATCAGTTAGCCAATAAGCCCTGTCATCTCAATTTGTGGCCAGCGAGTTTTTGGAGCCTTTGCTGAAGGTGTTTGCTTTTCATGGCATACTGCCCAGCTGAAGCGATAACATGATTTCTGTTCTTCCGCTACACAGGGAAGCGCAAGGAGGTGATATAAAATATTCCTCACAAGGAGCTCTCCTAGGACAATTCTTTGAGAGAGATGCTGAAAACTGTCAAATCCTGCTCTGGTATATTGGAGTGGGCTGGTGAAAACCAAAGTCAAAACATCTTGGAGGTTAACATGGGCGGGATGCTGGGAAACTGGTTCTGACTTTGGCTTTTGGTGTGAGATGAGCAGTTTTAGTCAAAGCTCACAGAAGTGGTACCATTCCCTCTTCTGCCAGAGAAGTTTTGCTATGTCTCCAAGCTCTCTTGCAAAGACAGAGTGAACCTTGCTGGTGTTTCTCTCCTTCCCCCATGTATGTTGTGTGGGTTGCTTCCTCCCTTAATGAACATCTGAGGTGCAGGGTACCTAATGCTGTCCCATTAAGACTACTCTGAGGGTTTTGGCCAAGCTTAAGCCATTTTAGAGATAAAACTTGTTTTTACCCATCTGTTTGGTTGGAAAACACATTGTTTATCTTCTTTCAAGGGAGAACATGCTTTCACTGCAATGCTGGTTAGCAGTAACCTCTTAATTAATGGTTTGGAGTTAGAATGGTAAAATAAATGCTACAGTTTTGGCAAGTAGATGTTTGCTTTAAACATTACAATGAGTGATGGAAGCAGGGTGTGCATCGAGAGCCTGGAACAGCATGGGAGGCTGTTGACGTGCTTAATTTCATTTCAATCTTTTTCTATTGAAGTTTAGGGAGATGAGGTTGATGGTTTATTTTCCAAGCAGTCAGGAAACAAGAAAGCACTCCATCACTCAGTGATTGCCACCTAGGGAGGTGGTTTTCTCCCCTAGCCATTCAGACGTGTTTGTTTAGACTGTTCTTTGGTTTTCTATATGCTGCAACCTCACATAGTGACTAGTTCTGAAGGCAGAATGCTTGTAGGATTTAAAAGCTGTGCTTGTCCCTCTTGTCCCCCTGTCCCCAACATACCAGAGAGCAGATGTTGATCAGGGTACTTGTGGTTCAGTACACTGTCCAGGTACAACTCCGAATGTGGCTCTCACTTTTAATGTTGTAGCATGTTTTTATGAAAATTTCTCTCTTTGTGCCAGATACTGTTCCACTCATGAAAGGGGATGGAAGTGGGATTTGAGCATGGACTCCAGTAGACTCAGGATTACGTGAATTTCCACATCAAAAGAACTGGGTAGTAGTATAGAGACATATTTTTCAAATGTAGTGTATGACCAACTCAAATTGTCTACAGATCATATGAAATAGGCCAGAGGCTACTACCATAGAGTTAATATTGAAACTTTGAATGCTCAGTTGATTTCCCAGCTATTATAGTTTTATTTTGTTCTCCTTTTTTTTCCCTCTGAATTGTTGTGCTAATTAAGCTCTGTGAATTTCAATCTCTCAGGTTCTACAATTATGACATTGCAGTCCCACTATGGCAGCACACTGGAGTGTAGCAGATAGGATATTATGAAGTGGAGACATTCAATGGGAAAATGTCCAAAAGCATTTCAAATCACTTAAGATAATTAAACAAGGGGAAAGAAAGTGGCGTGTTTAAAGAATATGTGCTGGTTTTGTGAATAGGATGATGTTAGAGGCCTGTGCATGGGAAACTCATTACCCATGCTTCACTCATTCGTTATATTGTAATGAGAAAGAAGAATTGAAAAACGCCTCTGTGAACGTCGCCTTTGTGACTATCAGGAGGTACTTGCTCTGAGACCACCACTGCAGAAGCAGCAGGCGTAACAGACTTGGTTATTCCTATGGATATACCTCTGAAGAAATACAACAACTGAAGAACTAACAACTAATTTCAGTATAAAGGTCAAAAGGACCTGAATTGAGATGCTTAAGAGTTAATGGTGTCAGTAGACAGAGGTTTAGATGACATTTTTTAGAACTGGCTGTATGCCATCCTGTTTCACTCTCCTCATCTGCCCCATTTGTAGGCAAGGTTTAAAATGCACAGCCAGAGGGCTTTTAATAAGAATTTGTATAATACAGTGAGGCAGTACTTGGATGGGGGAGAAAACATGTACTTTATAATTCGGAAGGAGGAGAAAGAGTAACAAGTATCAGTGAAGGTCAGAGCTTCAGCTCAGCTCTGTCTGAGCTGCAGGCAGCGTATCTGAGAAGGAAAGCACCACAGTCGAGTTTAGAATCATAGAACGGTTTGGGTTGGAAAGGACCTTAAAGCTCATCCAGTTCCAACCCCCCTGCCAGCAGCAGGGACACCTTCCACTAGACCAGGTTGCTCAAAGCCTCATACAACCTGGCCTTGAGTGAGCTTGAGTCAGCCTTATACTACCAGTGACTTTATTATGATCGATGCTCCCACAGAGTAGGTAGAGCAGCTGACTGTCATCATCTAAGAAGTCACAGGAATATTTAATGTTCTTCCTAAAACACCATTTCTTGAAATACTGTAAAAATGCTGGGATGTTAGTCAAAAACAAAGGTAAGCAGAAAAGCAAACTTCAGAGCATGAAAAGTGTATGTTTCTCTCTGAATCTCAATAGGTTCTGTGCACCTCCTCTATATTTCAAAACAACCCTGTGAAACACCTAACCAAAGAGTGCATTGCCATGCTGTCGGACTCCAGAACAGAAATGTCCGTGTGTGACCATATTTGAAACAAGATTTAAGGTGACAATTTCTGCCTTTCAGTTGCCCAGGGCAGTGGTGGAGTCCCCATCCCTGGAGGGATTGAAGAGTTGTATAGACATAGTGCTGAGTGACATGGGTTAGTCGGGGACTTGTCAGTGTTGGGTTCACAACTGGACTCGATGATCTTAAAGGGCTTTTCCAATTTAGGTGATTCTGTGATTCCACAGGGTAAGGAGTTGCAGAAAGAAAGATCGGATCGTACATCTCAGCACTGTGAGTCTTGCAGTATGTACGCAGAGTGCTCAAGATTCATTCCTAGGCAGGTCAGACCTCAATATCAAATAGTCAACAAAGCTCTAGCTCAGATTTCAGGCCACTTTACACCTCCATGAGATGCAAAAGAAAACCCAGTGCTGCTTTTAGAAATTGCTTATGGTGTTTCTATTTCAGGCATAAGATTTTAGCTCAGTGTCCAGTTCCTGCTTCACTTTATCCCATCTCAAAGTCCTAGTTGATGCTTGATGGCAGTGGGCAGATCACGCCACATCCCTGGGCGTGCTGGACGGCCTTGGGCTGTATGCCACAAGAGAAGCAGCCCAGGTCTCTCCTCTCTCACTAGCACTAACAATTAGGGCTGTCAGAAGCAGGGATTTGTTATTGTAAAAACTTGGGTCTCTTCTGTCAGCCTTGATTCCCTGCTGAAGCAAAGGTCAAGTTTTATGGTCCATGTCATGGTCCTTCTGAGATGTGTAGCAGTGAGCCACACATCACCCAGGATGCTGAAGAAACACGTACCAGACTATCCAGACATCGTATTGTTTGCCTTCAAAGCAGTGCTGTTAAATCTCAGTTGCTGGGTGTCACTTTTGTCTCACAGAGCATCTTTGAGATGCATTCTGATGGATAACGATGTTGGTGTGTTTCCCCTTATATCTGTATTGCAGAGGGATGACCTGGAACAAGAAGGGCAACCAAGGAATTTTCATCCTAAAAGTCAGATTGAAAAACAAGTCTGCGTGCTGTGAGAAAGAGATTTACTCCTTAGGCTTTTGTCTGGTGGTTTCTCCTGGATCACCAAGGGAAACCCTGATGCCTGCTCTGACTCTGATAATTCTCAGATTTTTCTTGAGTAGCACTAGCATGAAGAGCACACGGCTCTTGTCATGTTTTATAGCCTGATGTGCTATACCTGGCATGTGGATGGTTAAGGGAGAATTTGATCATAATCTGCACCTATCTGAATGATATATGTACCAAGAAGGGAAAACAATTGTTTCAGCTAGTGAAAGCAGTGTAACTAGGAAAATCTAGAAAAGGCTGAATATCAGGAAATGCATCATGACAGTAACATCTGTTGGAATGCAAAGTAATCTCCCTTTGAAAGTGGTGGTATCAGCATTACTTCTGACGTTTGAAGCTGGATGAGACAGAACCTAATTTGATCTACAGCATACTTGGCTTCCAGGGAGGCCGTCTGTATGATCCACTAGATTTTTTTTCCATCTCTAACTTCTGCGACTCTGTCTTTCTGACTCTCCTTGGGTGATGAAATATCATTATAACCTTTTGAAATAATATATTGGTGCCTGGAGAGCAGAGAGTGATTTTCTCATTTGCAAGTGAGAGGCAGTGTGTTAAATTACCATTCCTGTCATTAAATGGATTGAGTAAAAAGTTTGATGTATTTAAAACAAGACATTTTCCCCCCCTCCCCAAACGAACTGCCTGAGACTTCACATTGCGAGGGGCCAGGAAGGTGAGGATTAGAAGTTTAAATAATGTTCATCATATTCCCTGAGGCTTAGGTTAGTGGAGGCTGCTTGACACCTGAAAA